TATATATATAATATATATAATTTCATGTTGTTCATTCAATAAAATATACATAATTTCCACTTCTTCCATAAAGTTCATAGTCAGGAACGAAATAATCTCGATTATGTAATGATTTTATACATAAATTAAGATTAAATTTTTAAAGCTTCTAGTACGTTATTGTAACCATATGTATATAATAATATTAGAAAGATTTCTTTATATATTATTTCTTAAAATAAATTAATTTTTTTTAAATTCAATTTTATATTAATAGATTTTTATATGTTCTAGACTAAATCGTTTTTCGATGACTGCAAAAATCTTGAACTATAACCTAGTCAATAACTCAAGTCTTAATTTTATTGGAAGTCTAAAGCATTTTTAGACAATTTAAAATGTATGTTCAGAATAGAGAATTGAAAGAGGAATTTTCAGTCACGAGGAATTTTATTGAATTATAAAATTTATTTACATAGTTATACTGCTATCAAAAATATATGTAACGCGATAAAGGGATTTGCATAACTTGCTTCTATATTTTTTCTAATGTCATAGTTCCATATGGTTACAATGAATGATTTCTTAGTGCCTGTACTAAGAATTTTTATGTTCGATATCGATATGTAGGTGCCTTAGCTGGAGTCTGTTTTCATTTACATTGGGTAAAAGGCAAAGAAACTTTGGAAAGATGGCATACTGGAGTTACATTACGAAATTTAAATATTTTGGGCTTTGTAAGTGCTGTGATTAGTATTACTGCACTGATTTGGTACCTGTTTCTTACGTTTTATTATCAAATTCGTAAGCATTTTGTAATATTTTTAGATATTTCACAAGTTTACTTATTTATTTTACTTATTTATTTATTTAGTTTGTTTTTAATTATTTATTTTTAATCCTGTATAACTACATCTTGATTATAGGAAATTACCTGCTGACTTACAATATTTATTTGTACATAAAAATTTATTTATTATTGTAGCCATTCACCCAATTTCTGAAAGCACTATAATAACAGCAGTATGGTCCATGATCTGTGGAAAATGGGGTATTACTTTAATGTATTACTCAAACAAATATGAATTATTGGTCCAAGAAGGAGCATCACCTATACTTACAGATAATGCCTGAAATATAATATCATAATTTATATTTTTATATAAAATATTTTTTACAAAATAAATGCATAACATGTAAAAATCAAACCTATTGAAGTTTTTATTTACGGAAAATATTTCATTTCTTATCAACTTATTAAAATGCAAGTAAATGAATTTCAATATTTTATTTTATCTGCAAATTTTTGTTCGTGTCTTTTACTTACGTATATGCTGTATAAATATATTATTAGGAATTACGGAATTATTTCTTCTTGATGATATTGGAAAATATTCTTTCACTCGATGAATTTGGACAAATTTGGTATAAACTTTTATAAAATAACTATTAAGCTATATCTTAAAAAATGAAAAGATTGTGTATAAAGCCCATATATTTTCTCTATTTAATCAGTAAATAAACTTCATCGTAATTATAAAATTGTATATTTTAGAGCATAAGAATATTATATCTATTCCCTATATACATTTGTATGTAACTCCCTCCTCCCCCTCCTCTCTCTCTCTCTCTCTCTCTCTCTCTCTCTCTCTCTTTCTCTCTCTCTCTCATCATGTATGTACATAAATGAATAATACAACGAATATATCTTACATGTATAAAAGTATAGAAGTTTACAAAACGTCTTATCCTAAGGAGACAATTTATAAAGTGGATCGATAATTGTATATAAACCAATTAATGAAGAAATTATTCCAAGTAAACCTACTGTACCTGGAGTACATTTTGTGACGCCTAATGCTGTCAATGGAATAAATAAATCACATCCATTTTTAACAGTATCCATCGTTACTTCCTTGTGATTTTTTAGACAAGATAATATATAATATTGTTTAAATACATTCTTCTTGTGTTCCAAAATCTTGATAATCTCATAAATATCTCTTATTAAACTCATAACAATAGTTAATAACCAATACTTATTAGCAATTTTATTCCATTTTTCTAAATCAACTCGTAAAATTCCTACTCTGCCAATCCAAATAAAATGATCTGCTAGTAAGTATAAAGCATTTGCCATCTTTGCCATGGTTAATGTTATTCTCACCATAGGATCAGGATACTTTATCATTTTTAAAGCAGAATAGATGCTATCTAAGCATCTTCCAAAGCGCAGTACTAGAAAGAAAAAAAAATATATGATATTTATTTGTCAGCTATAGAAACACGTTTCTATAAACCAGAAAGTTATCATTACATTTTCGAAATGAGCTAAAAGTGAACTCCAAACTTCTCAAAATTTCTGCAGAGTATCTTGTGCTGTGCACATTTTGTGCATAGTACCAGTACGCTCGACTTCCATATTGAAGCAATCTGCAAGCAAAATAATTTTTGATATTTCTGATATTGCTAAATAAAGCATAGTGCTTTATAATTTATAATTATCTTAATGCCAATGATAAATTTTTTTCAATATAAATTGGAAGTTCTTATCAATTTTTTCTTAATAGAAATGCTTAATTACATATAGGCTGTATTCCAAAATTTACTGCAAATATTGAAAATCTATGTTTACATCACATGCACAGATTTTCAGTACTGGCGGTAAATTTTAGAACACAGCCATAATCTTTTGGTTATAAATAATGGAAAATAATGAAAGTTTTTCACAATCTAAAATGAATTCGTAAATAATAATATATAATTTTCTTTATGTAATTTTAAATAAATTTCTATAAAATTTTGATTAATTGTTTACTCATAAAAATTATACCAAAATAATATATAAATAACATCGACTTTTAATTTTTAATAAATAATAGAAAAAAATCGATTTTTAATTTATAAGAGAATGTTACTAAAAATTAAAGAATTATGATAAAAACTATTCAACATCTAGAAATAAAAAAATTGTCTTAGTTTTAAATTAAGATAATTAAAGAGCATAATGCTCAGCATGATGTAAATAATACTGATGTACAAGTGAATAAAAGAAATAAAAGATTTTATCATCGTATATGACATACCTTATTAGTTTATCTCTCCCTGCCGTTTGCTCGTTCAACTTTACAAAGATATCCATAATTTCTTTCAAACGAAAGAATCTTATTTTAATTCACAAATTGTATAACTAACAAGAACAAAGAGATAAATAATTTTAATATATATTGTCAAAAAATCATTTGTATTCAAAACAGTAGTAGTTTAGAAGGTCTTACAAATTAATATCTCAAGCAAATATCTTGTCGCTCTTTTACGTGTTTTTCATTTGTCATAACTACATATCTTTCACGATCGCTTTCCATTATCACGAGCTAACAACAGTTATATTGGACTCTGCACTTACAAAGAAATTATTAAAAAAACAAGCAATGATTGGCAGTGATGCAACTCAGAGATTATGAATTATTTTAAATTCGATAATTATTAATTCGCGTGATTAGAAAATGATAAATATATATTCATTAACGAAACTTATCCATATATTGTATTTATAATGTATTCGATTTACTGATTCGACCTGACGAGTCAATAGGCCCGTTCTTTTTGACTGAATTTTTGCACCAGTTTATCTTTCTTCCTTTTTTCTCCAGAAGGAAAGAGCAGGAAGAAAGATGAACTGGTGCAAAAGTTCATCCAAAAAGAACAAGCCTAATGATCTGGGGTGTTTTTTCGTTATCCAACCAGAAGCTACCACAGCTAAGGCTATCTTCGTTTTCAGAAATCAAAAGACGAATATAGTCTTAGTCGTGATTGCTTCTGATTGCATAACGAAAAAACGCCACTGTTATCCCTAGAAAACTCTATCTCTAGAATGGATAACGCCACTGTTATCCCTAGAAAACTCTATCTCTAGGGGGGGAGTAAAAAGTGACAATTTTAATCATTGAAGATAATAATGAAATTTTTCACTTTTCACTTTTCATCCTAGAAAAATAGTTTCATGATTAATACCAAGAGCTAAACTGTGACCTAGTTTTCATCAAGAGTTTGATCCGAGTTGGAATGCAAGAACCAACCAACTGCAGTAGAGCCTTCCCTTGTTATTCGATTGTAACAGGGGAATGCTCGACTGCAGTTGGTTGGTTCTTGCAATCTGACTCGGATAATTTAATCGATGTTTCGTTATTTTAATGCTGTTGATTCCGTATCGTCTCTATACCGTTCTAGCCATGATCCCGGTGATTCCGATACAGTAGAGAAACTTCTTACGGAACGGAATGCTAGTAAACTCATTTCTAGTAAGACCGTTCCGATTCCGTGTACATTTGTCACCATTTAGTGACGAAAAACCGCGGATACTTTTTAGATGACCCAATATTTTAATTTCAACAAAATATTCAAAGAATAATGTACTAAATTGGTACAATATATATCAAAATGATTAATTAAATACATATAACGTATATATTGGGTTATCTACGCACACTAGATGTGTGTTGATGGTCATATATCTAGTGACAAAGTACCGCGGATACTTTTTAGATGATCCAATAATTTAATAGAAAGTTACTAGTTAATATACAATATACAATATTAAGTGCATGATGTAAACTAGGCTTGTGCAATTTGATATAGCAAAAAAAAAGTGGTTCTGCACTCGCACCAGAGCACTAGTGCAGAGTCAGTGAATGTGTGCCGAATTCGCTATTAAAAAGAATCATAGTGCACATAGTATACACGTGGTTTGTTCGCATTGCTTGAAATCCTCAAACACTTAAAATAAGATAGATACATATTGATTTGGACGTTGAAAAGAGAAAAAGCGAAGATACTGCGAAGAGTGCAAAAAGTGCAATGCGAAGAGACGAATTATTTCAAGCATAGTAATTGATGGTTCATCTTTTATGAGTATTGGGTCATCTAAAAAGTATCCGCGGTACTTTGTCACTAGATATATGACCATCAACACATATCTAGTGACAAAAAACCGCGAATACTTTTTAGATAACCCAATATGTCCCTTCGTATACTTTCATGCACTAAACTTCTACAACAATTAAAACCGTTATTAAATTAAATAATACATAATAAATTAATCATTTATACATATATATGTTTTTAAAAATTTTACTAATTGACTAATCAAAAAATGCTTTGGAGCATTCGTAGCATCGAATGGACCGTAGCCGCAGAAAAGAAAATAGGCAGAGTACTGTAGAGTTGTGATTGGTCGCGCTGTTCCGTTCCGCTGTAAATTTCCACTCATGGAACGCTAGCCATATCCCTTCCTCATCGTCATCGAATGCAGTCAAGTCAAGTGTCGTTTTCTTGTAATTGCTTGTAATCTGGTCTGGTGTCGACGTATCCAACATGGCGAGCACGGTGAACGAAATTTCGACACAAACGAATGAAAACCTAACGGAATACCAAAATGCAACCACGGCGAGAATACCATCAACGCCCGAAGGAATGGCGATTGCGTATGGCAGCCTTATTATTATGGCCATTCTACCAATTTTCTTTGGCAGCTATCGTGCAGTCAAACACCATAAGGAGCAGCAGGTTAGCCACGAATCTTGACATATGTTTGACACATTTTTACAAGATCTCTTTTTCACATCGTTTTGATCACTACAGTATATCATGATTTGTAAGAAAATTCTTTGATAATCTGGTATTTATCCCTTTTTCCAAATATAGATTAATTCTTAATGTAATTATAAGATTAAATAAAACTAAATTCAAATATCCAATAAAATCATGAAGAAGCACAACAGGATAGCACAAGTGTGCACGCTATAGAAATGAAATACTACGATACAATTGCAAAATTATGTACTGTTTATGTAGGTATTGTTAGTTTCTCTTGAATGTTTCACTACTTCACCTTTTATTTTATAGCAATTGTATAAAACAAGTGGCGAGCAACCTGACACAATGTCTCGTAGAGAAGCTGCCATGTTTCCTCTTATCTCCAGTGTTACATTAGTTGGCTTGTACATATTGTATAAGGTAATTGGATGTTTGTGTATATAAATGTTATTTTGGTAGAATGAAATATTAAAATTTCATTTTATTGATTTTTGAGATACTCAGTGGTAAACTGTATAATTAAACCCAAATTATTTTTCGCAGGTATTTGCAAAGGAGTACGTTAATTTGATATTAGCTGGATATTTTTTCTTTCTTGGTATTCTAGCTTTATGTCATCTTACAAGGTAATGTAAGCTTTTGTATTATTATAAATACATCATTGAATCTCTTTAATAATTTCAATGAAATGTTTATATTTGATCATTGACTCGTCTTTAGCCATATCAAGGAAATTTTTAAGTGTTCATAATTTTTAAAATTTCAGCCCATTAATTTCATCGTTAGTACCTGCTGCGATTCCAAAGACGCAGTATCATATTTTATTTACAAAAGGAAAGGATGATAAAGAAGAGCATATAATTAATTACAAGTTTAATCTTCATGACATTGTATGCCTTGTGTGCTGCTCGCTCGTGGGTGCTTGGTATCTTCTGAAAAAAGTAAATGATAAAATCAGTATTTAGACATAGATTGAAACTTTTTACATCTTTGTTACTCTATTTTGTTATTTTCTTTTTTTTCAGCACTGGATAGCTAACAATCTGTTTGGCATAGCATTTGCTATTAATGGAGTCGAATTGTTACATCTTAACAATGTCGTGACTGGATGCATTTTACTGTGTGGGCTTCTGTTTTATGATGCTTTTTGGGTGTTTGGTACAGATGTAATGGTAACGGTGGCAAAGTCCTTTGAAGTGCCGATTAAACTTGTGTTTCCACAGGATCTTTTAGAAAAAGGCTTGAATGCTGGTAATTTTGCCATGTTGGGATTGGGTGATATTGTATTGCCTGGTATCTTTATCGCGTTACTCTTGCGATTCGACAACAGTTTGAGCAGGAAAACCAATGTCTATTTCTATTCTACATTTTTTGCATACTTTATGGGATTACTCGCCACTATGATGATCATGCACTTGTTCAATCATGCACAACCTGCTCTATTGTATTTAGTACCCGCGTGTATAGGCACGCCATTGCTCTTAGCGTTAGTCAAAGGAGACCTCAAGGCGTTGTTTTCGTAAGTATATTTCTAAATTCTTATCATTGTACGTTATATCCGTTTCTTTATGTTTGTAACATGCATGAAAGATTCTTTTTTTTTAATTATATTTCAGATATGAGGATCATCCATCACCACCTACGAACGCGGCAGAGCAATCGGAGCAAGTGCAAGTAGAAACGAAAAAGGATAAATAATAACCTGATTGAATGTAAAAAAAAATACTACGTACAATTTGCATTATCTTGTAATTATCTTTCGATATCATCGTGCGTATGGAAAATGGAAAAGAATATGAGTAATAGTTCATAGTTCATGCTCAAGACGTACAATCACGCATTGTAAAATACAATAGCTTATAACTATATCTTGCAAATACATAAGTTGCAAGATATATCTATATAATATGATTCACAATGAGCATTCACGGTATCGTTTTGATGTTGTTTCGATCTGGAAAGACTTCAGCATAGGATTTAGGTGATAACTGAGAACGCTATTTCGAATGCATACAAAAGAAATTTTTATCACTCATATATGGTATCAATGATGACATTTCGAAATAGTGAACGAGAAAATTGTAAACAATAGAACAGAATTTGATTGTTTTATTGTTTTATAGGATCGAGAGAGAAAGAGAGAGAGAGAGAGAAAACTTCCAATTGTTGATTTATATTTCGTACACAGTGTGCGCGATAGATTCTACCGAAGTTATAAGAGTCTACCGAAGTTTTATAGTGTGTTACGTTGTATAATTCTAGAAATTAATTTGATATAAATTTTAACTCCAGTTCTAATTATATATAAGTTTCTACTAATATTCCCGAATTTCTGAATATTTTTTTTACCATGTGTGAGTGATAATCTTGAATTATGAATGTAAAAATGATTTTGTTTCCTTGCGACGCGTTAAACGAATTAATGTAAAGAATAAAACGTTTTTTCCTATCTAAAATTATTGTAATGGAATATTAAACGTACCATTGTAGTACACAGATGCTAATACATATTTATTTGTAAGAAATGAATATTTATGATTAAAATTAATACGAATATCTATTTGGAAAAAATATAATGTATATACAAATTAAAAGTCTGTTAAATTTGCACATTTCTTTTTGATTCGTGAAGAAATAAAAGTAAATTAATTCTAATAAATATATAAAAATAATATAATGCTCATTTGTTACAATAATTCAACTAAAAAAAAAATAAAGAATTCTTTAATAAATGGGTTTGAATGTTTTGAATCATTAAAACTTTGTATTGAAACGTAATTTTAATGTAAGAACTATTTGTAGAGAAATAAAATATGTTCTTTTTTTCTTTGGCCGTATCTAGAATATGGTTATAACGATGTTAGCGCACATTGAACGTGTAGTTACATTATTATAGAATTTCATAAATAAGAGCACGAACTTGGCGCTAAAAGCATGTTTTTTAAATACGGATCCCTGTTTCTCTTCGTTTTTTGCAAATAACTTCAAAATGGCAACTTATGTTGTAACAAATTAGCGATAATACAAATCACTTTTCATCCACTATCAGAAATTACGAGTATTATAGTAGTGTCACATTCCATAAAATTTTTGTATTCCGACAGTCTCCTGTTTGACAAAATTTTTTCTATTTATATAAATGTATATTAAAATCTTTAACAAAAAATGAATTATTCTTCTATCTTTGCTCATA